TGAGAACTGGCGACTTGGTAGTACAACTTTAGTACGCGGAGTATCTGGGGAGTGGGAAGATGAGAACTGGTGACTTGGTAGTACAATGACTTGGTAGTACAACATTAGTACGCGGAGTATCCGGGGAGCTGGAAGATGAGAACTGGCGACTTGGTAGTACAACTTGAGTCTGGGGAGCTGGAAGATGAGAACTGGCGACTTGGTAGTAGAACTTTAGTACACGGAGCAATCTGTGGAGCTGGAAGATGAGAACTGGCGACTTTGTAGTACAACTTTACTACGCGGAGGTGACTTTCGAGAGGTGAAGAACTTGCAGAAAACAGGTGTTCCTGCGCTTCAGAAAGACATACAGAGAGAGACACATACACACACAGACATAGATACACACACACAGAGACCCACACACTGCCTCAACACACTCGACTTAACACTTCACACTGAACACTTATAACACACTTAACAGATAACTCGCACTCTGACTTCCTACGTGATGAAAAATGCTTTCGGGCCACTCGTCGTCTAGTTTAGTGGTCATGTGGGTGATTTCTAGTCAGCCTTCTCTTTGGGATGCCCAATTTGCACATATGGTTTGGTCAAACTGATGGAAAACCGAAACAAATCCACAGCTCCCCGAACGACCTTGTTTGTTGGGAGACCTGTGGTCCAAACTCTCGCAGCAAATCAGACCAGATCTTATACAAAATGGTCACAATCCGTCAACATGCATCCGAAAACGAAGGATCGACTACGTCCGGTGCATGGAAAAAAAAGGAAAGAAAGCTGTGACCTTACCGTGACCCAAGCCACTTCACTCCAAGCGACTTCACTCCAAGCTGCTTCCTTCACCACCCACCTGCCCAGTTCCTCCGCTCTCCTCAGCTCCGGCGCCGGCGCTGCGTGCAGCGCCACACAGCGGAGCGACGCGCAGCGCCGCGCGGCCCCGCGCAGCGACCCCAGCGGCGCCGAGCGGTCGAGGCCGAAGTGCCAGCGGGACTCGGTGAGGAAGGCTGAAGAGTTCCAGGTTGAAAGAAAGTCCTGGAACTCAGAATTGAATGGATTTGAAGTGGAATTCGAATCGAACTGCGAACTGTGGCCGTTCGGCAGGGTGATGACTGAGTGAAAGGTTTTGGAGTTCCCAAGTCTTATCAGAGTGAACTCGAGGTGTTCAGGATTTTGTGTTTAAAAAGATGGCCTCCAAAATACAAGGTCTCCAAAATACAAGGTCCGCTCGTGTCGGAGGGAGCAAAGGAATGGGGCTGACGATGGGTGCACGAAAAGTTGGATGTGGGAGGTGGCGTGGCAGGACCCTGAAAGTCTACCCCCCCCAGCAGACGATCCCATTTCGAAAGTCTACGCCCGGGTCCCAAACCAAAAACTGCTAGGAACCAACGCAAGGCATCTACAAACGCAATTGCTTTGCAAATGAGTGTCTTCCACAGTCTGGGCCCTTTAGTAAGGCCCCTTACATCCTATCCAATCTACAGAGACGGTGAAAGATCAATTGACTCAGCCCTGATGATCGAGCATCACTCTACAGCAGTTCGGAGCACTCCTGAAGCTCCTTCAGTGCCTCCTTATTCTGCTGGCCTTGTGGGTTTGTCCCTGGAGGCATTGCAGACAACAACCAGCAAGGGGCCAGCGCCAGCCATGCTCCAGAGAAGAGGCTGGGAAAGGCAAGCACTGCCCCTTTTCGGCCCATGTGTCTTCATCGCTTGATGCTGAACTGCTAGTGGCTGTCGCACCCACCGCAAACTTCATGAAAACGGAAAAGGATATGCCTTGTACAACGGGACTCCTACTGTTGGCTTGAAGTGGTGTTTGCTAGGGTGGAAATCTGATCCTTCCTTTGTTGGATCCATAAAGATGAGCCGGGCAATGGGTAGACTCTACAACCCCAAATAGTTTTTCCCAAAAGAAGAACCACACTTTCGGATGCCAGAGTCTTGTTCTGCAGGTGAGTCTTGGAGAACTTGCATTCGTCCCATTGTCACTGTCAGGTAGAGGGCAAATGGACAACTGAAAAGCCAATAATGTCCATACTATGCATAGGAAGTATTGAAGTAATTGTGTTTGCAAGGCTTTCCCATGTCCGTCTTCTACTTTCACAGTCATCGCCACGTACCCCTCAACCGATGTCCGTCTTCATAGCTGTTCATGCAACCTCGGCGCTCGGCCACCTCTTTGGCTGCCTGGAGGCCTGACAGATATGCGCCATGCACCGTGGAGGGAAAATCATTCCGGCAGTGCTCTCCCGCAAAGAAGACCTCGAGGCCGACGGGCGCGTCTCGTGGCGGGACGCGCGAGCAGGACGGAGCATCTCGCGAGCAGTCGAGTCGAAGAAGGGGCACAGTGGAGTCGAAGTACGTCGGTGATCGGAAATTCGATGATGTGGGGACCAACGGCATCGTTTCCTTCGGAGCTGCACTGCCCTTCCGCGCTCGAGCTGCGCTCCGGCCGTTTCGTGGGCCATTGACCGACCTTCCGAACCCTTGGTGGGAAGGATGGCTCACGTGGCTCTGACCTACGTTTTCTGCTTGGAAAGTCCATGTCTTGCTCATGCCTTCAATGTTTCTCTTGCAGAGAGGGAAGGCCACCTGTTTGAAGGCTGAAAAAGGCAAACTTTAGTCAGCCCAAAACATGAAGCTGTCTGAACCTGCTGTCTCTTTCATCACTTGACCACCAATTACCAAACGCATCCAAAAGCAACTCGAAACCACGCTGCCGCCCTCCGTGCATTACCTGCCGTGTCACTCCTGCCCCCCTTCGTTCGCCTAGTCACCCGTGGCCCATGCGGTTCCTGAAGCCTTTGCCGGTGCAGGGGCTTTACCCCACAGGGCAAGAACGAGTAGCTGCCACAGGCAAAGTCGTCCCCCTGGCACGAATCGGCACGAATCAGAAGGATCCACGAGGATGATGGCAGGGGGAGTGGATCAACGAAGTTTGGTCACACCAACTCTCCTTAGCTTGGAAAATCAGCGCCAACATCATACATATTGTTACTTATTGTATCGAAATATATATATGCATATATATATATATATATCATATCCTACGTATCATCCGTGCAGGAATGCACCTTGTGATTCCAATGGCAGACCCGAGGTCACTTTGGGACGCACATGACTGTACTGCATGTTTATACATTTAATTTCATTTAATATTATTTTGTAATTTCTGCCACCGTCACGCAACCCCTCTTGTGTGAGCGTCGAGCGCCAAACAAGTCACTTTCCCATAGCATCCTGTCACGTCTGTAATCACGAGTGCAATCACGAGTACTACTGTCGCCTGCGTGCAGGCCATATACTTGATGATCCACTCAGGCAAGGGAGCTGTCCTCCCCTTCTGTTATCATCTCTCGAAGATCGTCCCAGGCGAAATCTGGATAGATTTGCATCATGAAAGGTACCAGGTAACCTTGATGGACTGTGCCACTGGACCCCTGCACCCTGGCAGGCTTTAACAAACTGTCAGGGCCAAGGATGTGTGCTTCATTCTGGGCGCCACACCTGCATGTGATCTTCGGTTGTCTCTGTCTCTAAGCAGGCTCCTGTTCTCTCGTTTGACTTTCTACAAATTGCACCAGCTGCTGTAGCCGCCCCCGCCTAAGTTCTGTTTCTGCCCTCCGGCGTTCCAGCTGCAGACTTGAATGTGCATCTCGTCGGGCATGTTACATCCTCAGTTTCCTCTTGTAAAGTCCTATTCATCTCTTCATCCAAACAAGTCCAAACCTGAAGTCGCTCTCATCACACTCAGCGCTACTGCTGTTGTCCAAGATTCGGCTTTATCAAACCTCTCCGATTGCTTGACAGCCTCCTTCGCCCCACATGCACTCGTTGGCCTTCTGCAAGTGGTCCTAAATCACCCCATCTTGCGAAGTCCACATGCTCGTTCAACCTTCATGACCTTCCTGATTCATGTGGCACTTCAAGCTTGATTGGAAATTGAATTTCTTTGATCACGTGCGGGTTTGGATCAGCTTGGCTCGCGGATCACTGCCAAGCATTGCATGACGCACCGACTCTTCTAGCATTCCTCTAGATTTCCCGGAGGCTCTTTTATTGGTGATGTGCCGTCCGCGACACTTGGAGACTGAGAGACGCTTGCATGACACTCCTTCTGGGACACTCTCATGTAGCGCTCTTGCGTCAGTATTGTGGCGGGCTCTTGCGTGACATTGTTGCTTGACACTCTTGTGCGTGACTTCCTCCAAAGTGAGGTGCGAAGTCTCAAAATCAAGCGTTTTGCTTGGGACTCCTCCAAAAAGTGAAGCAGGAAGTCTTCGACACGAACATTTCGTGCAAGGCTTCCAAAAGTGACGCCGTTTCGTACGAGGCTATATATCTCCAAACAAAGGCGGCAAGTCTCCAAAACGAGCGTTTCATTGGAGGCTTCCAGGCAAAAAGTGATACGGGAAGTCTCAAGCATTCGCATCGAGATTTCTCCAAATGCCAAGCATGGTCAACCAGGGGATGAACTGAGATCCTATGTTTGGCGCAGCAATTCGGAGCCCGATCAGTTCGACTGAGAACCCCCGAGTAGCTCGATGAAAATCTCGCCTGCCAGCCGCTTCGCTTCACATCCACCAACGAAGCCTCACGCGTCACGCGGAGGGGACGTGCGCGGCGACGGCTGGAGCGCCGGAGGGCTCTGGAGACCAGGTTCGTTTCAAAATGGTCCTGGGCAGGGTGAAGTTCTAGGGCATGTCAAACGTTCACATACGGCCATGGCGGATGGACGTTGGAGGCCCGGCAACTACGAGGTTAGGCTGTGACTTTGACCCAAGATTTGGAAGTGTGATAGGAATGCATAGACTAGGGCTTCTACATGACTGAGCTCATTGGTTCGGGAACCTGCTTTGAGACTCGGGCGCGGTGGTCAAAATAAGAGAGCCCCCAGCCACAGAGGTGTTTTCTTTCTCATCCCCAGAACAACAATCATTACAGTGATTTCAGAGTAGATGGCAGAATAATCAAAAGCTGGTTTATATGGACACCCATCTAAAAGACATCTTGGGGTGCCAGTGCCATCGACTGTGAAACCACTGTAACTTGAACATGGAAAAATTAAACCTTCAAAGTTCCATATTCCTCTACTTACAAATGGATTGCAGCAGCTCGTTTGGGCCAGGTGGTTTGGACTTGTTCGACCTTCTCAAGCAGTACAGTAAGTGCAAAGACCTTCAGTTTTTCAAGCGCCTCAAGCTCTGGCAGTGCTTGGTCGAAGGTTTCGGAGAGGATCCTGGCGATGAAATCTGATGTAGACATGAAGGCAGGTCGTGGATCTGATCTGGGTCCCAGCTCAAGCCCAACAAAAAACTGGAGGTTCAGACTTCAGAGCTTTCAAGCAAAGCAATTGTGGTCGTGTTCCTGTCACAGATCATCATGGACCAATTGGGTAGAGTCCGCGCTCTCTTCAGGGTGATTTCCGTCTATCCCAGGAGTCGTGTCACATGTCAGTAGACGAGTGATCTGCACAAAAGGGAACATCATCCATCTACTCATGATACTCATGCAGTCCCAGAAGGTTCGCCCACCGCTTTGCCAAGGTTCATAGATTCAAGAAACACAGCGAAGCAAAGGAACATGATGCAAATACCATGGTTCTTCGAAACGGCACACATCATGTCCCCTTTTCACCAAAAAATAATAAACCACGCCTTCAACGGCTTTTTTGACGCCGTGTGACAAAGAAGAGAAGGGCGTCAAAAAAAAACCACGCACCGAAACAAACCAACTTGAATTTCCGATTCGTGTCAGGTCCTTCACACCCCATCCCGGTTGGACCCGCCTCAAGAGCCGGTCTGTGAGCTCCTTGTCGCTCAGCTCCTCCATCTGCCTGGCGAAGCGACCGGTGGGGTGGCTAGAGTCGGTGGATGAGGATGGAATTTGCTTTAAAAGGGTTCATATCGGATATCTATATGTATATATATATATATATATTTAGTATATGATATAGTCAGTTTAGTTATATATTGTTTTGTGCGAGTAGGATCTGAGATCAGAACATTGACATGAAATGGTCTTTGCTGGTCCAAGTCCAAGTTGCTGCTTACCAGCGGTTTTCGACCGCCCTCCTGCTGTGCGCTCTGCAACGCGTCCGTTCGCTCCGTTGGGGGGTGGTCCACGCTTCGGAGCGCTCGTTGGTGCGCGCTTCCTGTGTTGGTTGGTGCATGTGAAGCAGAGAACCAATGCCATGTGAAAGCACAGCTAGAACATGCTAGAACCACAGATGCAGACTGAAAAACCTTGTATAGTGCTGGCAACAGCTTTCTTCACCGATCCAAAAAGAATCCGTCCAAGAAACGTCGATGCGACTGGCGGTCGCATCGATGTGAGGTGTGAAGAAGGTAGTGGACTCGGCAAATCCATCTACTCATCTACTCATCTACTTCTGCTGCTACTACTACTACTACTCCTCCTACTCCTACTCCTACTACTACTCCTACTCCTACTCCTACTACTACTCCTCCTACTCCTACTCCTACTCCTACTCCTACTCCTACTCCTACTCCTACTACTACTACTACTACTACTAGTCATCAGGATGAGTAGATCTACTGAGTGGGATCTAGAGGATCCATAGATCATCATCACATAGGGGATCTACTCATCTACTCATCTTTCCCTTGGAGGGCTTGTTTCAGGATCGACTCATCGTCTCTCTCCAGAATCAACGAGGAAGCGGTTGTTTCAACTAACTCTCCTCGCTACAAACTTGAGTGGAGGGTAATCCCACTTCCTCGTGAATTCTGGGGAGTGTATATAGTTGAGTACTTGGGGTCTCTGACAGGATCGTTCTCTACTCTCCAACCCGATGAATACTCCGCTGCCTTGCTGTCTCCCAGCAAAAAAAGGCGATGGCCACTGGTGCACCAGCCTCAGGCGGTGTGGGTGGAGAAAAGGAGGCTCCAGCTATTCTGCCAACATGTTTGAGTAGTTCTTGCTTGACCTTCAAACAAACAACTTGCATACTTTGCATCCACTACCAGTTTGCTTTGGAACTGTTCATGTTGGGCAGCACGGGGGTCCAATTCTTGACCACAGGACATGAACAAGTGAGCCGATGTTCATCCCGATCTCCAGACTCTCCCAGCGCCAATGGAGTTCCACCCGCTGTGCGAACGCAGTAAATCCTTCCAACAACCGTGGAGGTCGGCTCAGGCCCTTGCACACTCGGGGTGGAAGACCTCAAGTGAAAGTCGGATGCTCTGACCGGGGCGAGAAAGAACTGCAACACTCGAGGTCTTCCGAACAAGACCTGATGCACCGTTCAATTGAAGACGATCCATCCGCAAAACGAGAGCTGATGCACAATTCAATTGAACAGACAATCCACCATCCGCAAAACGAGATGAATAGTGGAGAATTGCGTGACTTATCTCAGTTGTTGCAGTCTTTGGCAGTCCACGGTGAGAGGATTTGCAAAATGCGCGAGCCAACACGGGAGGTGAACCAAAAGGATGAGGAGGGGATGTTCATGAAGCTCTAAGCTGAGTCTCGGCGGATGTGGAAAGCTTCAAAAGACCTATACCCCGCAACCCTGATGAAAGCTTGGAACCTGGGCTGAGATTCTGTTCACCTTAGGTTTCAAAGTGGTTTCATTTATATATTTATGTGACTGGTTTGTAGTGGAAAAAACATGAATCAGCATTGGATGTGATTCTTCATAGTCTCATCTGAACATGATGTCAAAGTGGAAAGTCTGAGGTGCATAGTGCATACAAACATAGTGATATATATATATAATATATATACTGTACTGTATGTTGTATTACTATTTTATGTGCAATGAACATTGAGGTTATTGACCTTGGAAAGCTACAGGAAAATCCGTGCTTGAATCAACCTCTATATAGAAGTGTGCATGGTTCAGGAAGGCAAAGACCTGTTCATGATGCTTAATGGATTGCCTCGGTTTTATCTAAAAATGCCTTTCTCACCTTAGTTTTGCATACGATAACCCCACCAATTGACAAGGCAAATCGCAAAGCCACCCAATGTTTGCTAGGAGATCGCGAACCAGCAAAGCCCTCACAGTAGACACCCTCAACAGCAAAATCCACAACCGCTCATGGCACCTCCTCTCATCGTCAGCTGAAAGACAGTTGAGGAAGTGACACCCAAACCCACTTCTTGTGGGGTAGGTCTCAGACTACAGTAAACACACCAGTACACCCCCCAAAGAGCGCAGGGAGCACTTGTGGGGCCGGGTGCCAAGGAGCCCATTCGTGGGGCTCGAGGTCCGTCAAGCTGCTGAGGGGTACTCGATCGAAACCCACCATCTCGGGTGGCCAAAAGCGCTCGCGGAAGTGTAAGGCCACCTTGTTCAGCAAGCCCACGCCTAAGGAATCGGATGTCGAAGAAATGTTCATTCCTGGACTTGCTGGAGACAGGGGATTAGGGGTTTCAGGAAGCTTTTAGGGGATCAGGATAGAAACTGTTCAAAGGAGACCTGATTGATTGAAACGTCTTGAAACTTCGAGAGACCAGACTTGAATCTCACTACGTTCTTGTTACAACGTGTCTCTTGTGTCTCTCTTTGATTAAAAAAGCTACATCATGCTACATCTAAATGGTTTTGTAAATAGGGAGAACCTATGGCCTCCCAAGGGGGTTGGCTCTTGGTCGTTCGTGTCCTTCTTCTTGAGCTCTACACGGCGACGATGGCTCAAGCCAACCCAAGAACCCTCCAGGTGTGAGACGCAGACCGCGAACGAGCACCATTGGACCGCTGATCTCCTCAGTTTCTCCGGAAAAAAAAGAAAAAGACGGAACATCGAGTGAAACCTCTTTTCACCGGTTCATTGTTCGTTTGAAGAAGAGAAGGTTCTGGTCGGTGATCCCCGCCATCGCCGCCCAGAACGGTGTTCTTCACCAGTTCACACCGTCAAACACCATGCTGGCAGAGAGCCGACCGCTTGCACCGATGCCTGCGACGTGGAGAACGGAGAACGCGGTGCGAACTCGTGGCGCGAGGCTGGAGGATCTGGTCTCCCCAACGAGGCACTGAAGATGTCACTAAGACTACCAGGTATATCCATGTATATCCCAATAACTTCCTTACAAAAGGGTCGTTCCTGACGGAACGACTGGGAGCGGTGCTGAAGAACTCGTGCTATACGTTGGAGTCGTGCTCCCATTTCCATATCCGTGGATGATGATGGGGCCTGGTTGCAGGCCGACATCCATCTCTATGTTAGAGTGATCTTCTTGTTCACCGGCGGCTTTTTAGGACCCCATGTTTTGTCGGACGTCGTGTTGATCCCAGGGAAATGGCGAAGACCTCCTGGCTTCTTTGCAGTCCCTGCGCACGTGCGGACTCGTGGCACCCGCGCGGCATCCGGCCTCTTTCTGCGCAGAGAACGGAGGGACGAACTCCACCTTCCCCGTCTTCAGGACTCCCAAGGGCAGCGTCACAATCACCAGATCGGCTATCTCCACCGTCGCCTAGGCGTTCTGAGTGCGTCAGTCTCGGAGTCTTGGACACCCGCCATGATGGCACTCGAACCAAACAGGATGGGCTGCCCTTCTGGCCAGTCGGAAAACTCCGAAGCAAGATGGGATGGCTGCTGAATGGCCGCCCTGCCTGGGTGTGAACCACCGATGTCACCATATGTTCGGTTTCGGCTCGTCACCCAGCCATGGCTGGGGTTCCCCCCCACGGACCCCGTCACGAACCGCCGCCTCTGGGTGGTCTGAAGCACAGTGCACCAGCACACGGGGGTCTTCCTCGTCTTGGATGATCGCGGTGACAGGGCAATTCAGGCGGAGGTCGACCCCTTCAGAGAGCCAATCCTGAGGTGTCCAAGAATCGATTCCGCGAGTTGTCCCAAGCGATTTCTGTCCGAACGAGTCGTCGAGCGACCGTTGGTGTTCATCGGTTGGAAACCACGCGAAAAAGGGTCTTCATATGTCTTCATGTTGGAATCACACGGATGGCTCAGCGAAACGGCACATGAACAGGTGAAGGGAGAACTCCCTAGCCACGAAGTGGGAGAAACTGTAGAACATCAAGGGCATCGTCGGTGCCCTTTGGCTGACATGCGGCCCAAGTGGTCCCACACATTTCAACGGAGGTTGGCTGGCTTGCTTCTTTCTGAAGAAGATCAAGAGTGCTGTGGTTGCTTTGCTCGAAGGCCTGTGAGCGTTGCTCGCGGGGGACAGAAGGTACCAGGAAGACGATTCAACCAGACCGTGTGACACATCTTGTCGCCGAAGACTAGCCTCTGGGATCTTCTTGCACTTTTTGGGCCTGCCAAAAGCTTCATGGGAGGACCCCCTGAACTTGTTGGTCAGCTGGTCACTGGTCAGCTGGAAGCAACACCCATCATTCTCGCTCAGACTCGATGAAGCCCTGGAAGCCTTTCTCCGGCCACATGCCTCATCTGTGATCCAGTCGACCCCCGAGGAGCAACGAATTTGGACCCCAGAGCGATGCGTCCTAGCCTGAATCGAGTTCAGTCGAGGCTTAGATGACTTCACTGAATGGGATCTGGAATCTGGTATGGAGAGAGCTTGCAGATCTATTATATGGTGTAAACGTGTTATCCAGGACTTCGCGGACCTCGATCTACTCACCCTGCAACTTGTTTTCGTCCCAACGGAGGAATGTATCCAATCGCTTTGAGGGTCCATGTTGGTTCATACAGGGACGTATCCATTGAACCCTTTTGATTTGGGATGCTCCTCTGCCAGTGGATCAAATGATCGATGAACCAAGGCTGTTGGGCCAGAGTTGGGAAAGACTCGCGAGAGGTCTGGACCGCTCGCTGATGGATCCACTGCAGATGTGTAAATACTTCCATTAACAGAGATAAAAACCATCCCCGGGATGTGCATCTTCCAAAAGACCGGATCATTCCACCTGACTGGTGAATCGTTGATGAGGATGCCAAGCCGGCGGCGTCACCGACCGGGTGCTGCGACCGCGGACCGCGGACCGCTCCAAGACAACCGCACAAGTGTAACACGCTGACCACTAACAAGCCGCCGGGAAGCTCCATGAGCGGGTGTGACAGCGTGTCGTACATCACCACTGAATCATGAAGAAAGGATCTCCAAACACGATGTGGATTGCGAGAACCCAATTGATTGGGCCGTGTGAGGGGTATTGGTCCACTGCATCCTACAGCCATGTAGAAGAGAACGTTGAGTTTTTTCCAGACCAACCTGGCAGAGGTGTTGGTCACCGGGAGGTGTCTTTTTCAATGCAAAAGCATTGTGTTTTGTTCAGTTTGTATCTCTCTCCGGGATTTTTCTGGCCGTTGGCCAGTTCCTCTCAGCCCATATCAATCTTAGACTCAGACTATCACACACCAACACCCAACCGTATCAAAAGCAAGCAAGCATCCCATATCCAGTCGCAATAGAGTGTGAGTGGTGAACAAAAAGAGGATCCAGGTGTTGGGTTGTTCAGAAGGGAATTTACACTCCCATGTTGACCCCCAGTCCACTAATGTATATAAACATATCAATTGAGGCCCAACGACGGCACTCTGAACAAAGTGCCTTCAACCCACACTGCGAACGAAGGAAAGCCGCGAGAACTCGTCCTATTTTCCTTCCGTGCAACATGGGTAGTTGGAAGGTTGGTTATCGATGCCGCTACCAGATCAAGTAGCTCTGATCTTAAGATGTAAATTCAGATCCAAATCAAAAATGAAATCCAGACCCCACGCCGCTCACAAATCAGGGAACAATGCTTTCACCGTCTTCCAGCCCAACCGAACTCCCACCTCCATCTTATCACGGGATGGGGGGTCGGCAGGGTGTTGAGACCCTGTCGATGTAAGCATAAGTCCTAATCCTTAGAGCGAGCTGCCAGAAAACACCCGTGAGCTCGCACATGTCCTCTTTGGACGAGTAGCCCTTTACGAGCGCTCCCTGAACAGGCTCAGAATCAACAAAAATGAGGATCCACGAACTTGAAATCAGGTATTCAAAATGTTGGAGAGCTACTATCACAGCGAACATTTCGACCATGGCGATTTGTGACTTACGGGGCAGCCACTTCCTGATGAGCTGCTCCGGCACTTGCGCTCCGAACTGCAAAGGCCGTGAACTCTTACTGAAAAGAACACCACCGATCCACGGGCGCTCTAAGCTGTCTGCCCGATCGTCGGGGAAACTGCCATCAGTAAAAATTACGAAATCAGCCTTCTTGCTGGATATCAACTCAATAGGCCGAGCCGGGCCCGCCTCCAACAAATGGAGCCACTCTTTGAGAGCGAGCTTAATGGCCTTGTTCAAACCAAGAGCAGGCACTCGAGCGTACTGCCTTTCGGACAGGGCCCTAAGAAAAGCACGACCAACTTTTCCCCATAGCTGTGAGGATCCAAACATGAGTTTGCCTCTTAGCTTCCCGGCTTGGCCGGGTGAGAGAATTCCTGCCTTAAATATGCTGTCAATTTCATCGACAAGCTCTGCTTTGCGACTGTCTTTAATGAGCAGCCGCATATGTTTTAGATCGTAAGTCACTCCTAGAATGGTGGGAGCTTCAGTCTTCTGAAGTTTCTTTTGGTCGAACTTAGCTCCGGACGGCTCGAACCCGTACTTGTCATCATAAAAATTAAAAGCAGCAACGCAGAACACTCTCCTAAGGATGTCCGTGATCAGTGCAGACCTACGATTGTAGTTATACACTGCGGACACTAACCCGAAGGAATGACCGATAACAAAATAAGCAACCCTGCCGGAGCTCGGCTCTTTGAGAGCGACCACACTCCACTTTCTGTGAGCTGGGTTGATGGGAACCTGTCTATAGACCTTTCGCTCATCTAGAACCCATCCCGCCAAGGATCTCTGGTGAACGTTCGAACGCAGCCATCGAATAGCCGCCACGTTCACGTCAGTTGACGGCAGATCCAGCTTCCCTGTGATCTTTGTGGCCACATTGATCCCGTTGACGGTTGCGCTATCCACGCCACGGACCTTGTTCTTCTGCACAACCTCAAACCGTTGGGTGGGGATCCAGGGCGAGCCTACGATCTGGTCGACCTCTACTTTGGTGAAAAACGGCCCGATCGTGACCCCTTCTTCAACATCTTCCATGGTCGCCTCCCACACTTTCTGTGTGTTCTCGGTGACCTCACATTTTTTGATGTTTTGGACCACCTTAGCAGAAAAGTCCCAGGCCCGCTTCTCTAACTCGGAGAGAGTGATGCAGATCTGTTCCTTCTCGAAGGGATCCCACGGATGAGAGGGGGAGATAGGACCTACAATGGGTAGGCCGGTGACCAGCTGATCCACGAGCCCGGCATCGACAGACTTCGCTGCCGCGGCCAACTCATGCCATAGTGCAATGTGTGTGCACGATCCCAGGATGATTGGTCGGTGATCAGGTTGCCCTCGGAGAAGTCGTCTGAGCCATGGGTCACTGACATTGGTGAGGATCTGGTCAGTGACCGGCAGCAGGGCGTGAGCACGTTAATGTGCAAGGGCTTGGCACCGATGGGTGACCAACCAATCTGGTCTGAGCGCTGCCAGTGCCAGTGCTTCTTGTAGATCCGGCTCAAGCGCAGGTGTGACCGAAAAAGGATGGATGAGATCCAGCGCCACCTAGACTGCCATGCCCGGCTCGTATTCCACCGGTAACAGCGGGGGGGAGGACCGACTTCTTCAGCTGGTAGCCTGCAGCGATCGCCTTCTGGCCAGTGGCTTCTTGTCGATGCCCGGACCAGGGAACAGGTTGCCCGAGAGGGCGCTTCCGTTCACCGGCAGGCGTAGTCATCGTAAAGGTCAGCAAACTGGCCCACTGTTGACATAAGTCCAGTGGGTACACCTGAGCTCTCTTCGTCTTAAATTGCTTCTTGCCGCGCACGATCTCCGTGCCCACCAGCGCAACGTGGTCGTGTGGCCGCACATCGCGATCGCAGCGCTGAGCCAGCGCCTGTAGTGGAGCTGAAGTCAAGATAGCAGTTGGCTTCATGTGTGGGGAACCGAACTGGCACATGTCAAACTCAATGCGAGCACCCAAAGCAGCGAGACCCCGCATAGGAGGCATGAGCCAGAGGTAAGATCCGAGTGGGTTTTCGACCGACCAAAGAATGCCACGATGGTGACACGCTGTTAGGACGTCCACAGTGATCTGCATGAGCCGGTTGCCGATCTTGACTTTGTCTTGATCCCAAGGAGCTAGCCGCGGCAGTCCCCAGAGCTCCTGCCTGGAGCGTAGTGGAGGAGGTCCTCCGTCACCCTTTCGAGCCAAGCTGAACGAGGAGCAAGGAGTGCCGCAGTGAACATAGGCGAGGAACCCCTCCTGAATGAGCATCATCAAGTGGTCAAGAACTCTTGGATCTGTGACATCTATAGAAAAAGGAATGAACTGGTTGACTTCCAGCTCGATAGGTGGAAGACATGGAAAATTGGCCGACTGCATAGCCCGAGTGAGCACAGCTTCTCCAGCAAAGATCTCCAGAAAATATTGCCCCGGTGGAGGGCGGGGCATCGAGCCCCAAAAAGCGCCAGAACAAGTCAGGTCAGCCGCACTGGCTGAGCCTTCATGCGTCCCATTGCCGCTCGGAGCAGGCGCAGCCGGAGAGCTGCTTCAGTGGTGGCCCACCATGGAGTGTGCCGAGCCGCATTCCATGCAGGCATGCTTGAACCTGCACTTGTCGCCTAAGGAACAGCCCATCGAAGAGTTGAAGTAGTGGCAGCGCTTCGCACCCTTGACATTCTGCGCGGCCTTGTTGATGAGCTTCCATTCGGATTCTGGGATGCGCTTGTCACGATCGGCAGCGCTGCTAGGCTTGTCTGTCTTGACCGTCTTGGTGTTCTGGTTGGATTTGGCCCGAGCAAGCTCGTCACGGAGGCGCGCAAGCTTCCGCTTGCGCTTGGCTGCCTTTGGAGAAGAAGGCTTAGCCACATTGTCCTCTGTGACACGATCGGATGGTGCGGAGTCCGCTTCTTTGCGATGATCTACTCGCGACAGCAAAGCCTTTGTGCGAGCATCATTCCAAAGGTACTTGTGGTTGGTGAGCACTTCCTTCAAGGCAGCTTCGTAGGAGCTGAACTTCTCCCTCTGTTCCGCCTGGAGGCGGAAAGCCTTCTTGCGGATCAGTGTGTCTGCCATCATGACGAACGGCAAGCTAGGGCATTCGATCCTGAACTGCTCGAGCTGCTGTAGGTAGTCGAGCGGTCATGCCGCCCGTGAGTACGAGCAGATATTGAGATAGTCAAGAGCCATGAAAAATGCATGAATCCGATTCATCAGAACGAGCTCGATCTTGAGCCAAAATGGCACGAGCGTGCCACTGGCTCAGTCCTGAAAAACTCGATACACTGAACAGTGTGATGTTGACCGGTCCTCTGAAATTGACCTGCGTATCCCTAACCAACCAAACCGTCGATAAGCCGACATATATATATAGCCCACGGTACTTTTGACCATCCAAAGTCAATCATCCTCCCACTAAACGCGGGTTCTAAGCTTCGTTCCCCTACATTCAGTTCTTCTTCACTCCGCAAGTGAGTCCCCTCCCCACTGTCACAGCACAGTCTCCTCGCCTTCCATTCAGGGCACAGTCTGGACCGTCGAACTCTTGGTCATCGTCCCACCAGCGAGAGCTTAAAGCTTCCAAGGAGGCCGCATAAACCCATTCCTCAAAAAACGGGCGTGGCCGCAGGGTCTCAATGAACGCCCGTGGTGCGTGCCATCTACGTGATTGTCTTCCCATCTTTGACGTGTATCAGATTGATGCGTACCATCAGTGCTAGCAGTGGCAAGTTAAAAGCAAAAAGACCATCCCAGTGTTCCAAGTGCCTCGCGATGAGGGAACAAGTAATTCCTGGAATGAGTTGGCCAAGCTGTCCTGTGATTCATGGGGGTGTGGGTAGGATGGCACTTAGGTCCCAGCCTAGATATGCAGACAAATGCATCATTTCATGCCCTGGAGCACCTTAAAAACGCACCAGTGGAGCAGGTCCCTGGCTCCCATGCTGCGCCTATTAAAGAAAAGAATCAAGCCAACTCTTCAAGTGCTTCACTCTGTGCCGAACATCCATGCAATATGCGATCCCGTCACCGTCCTGCAGGTTCCAGGAGTCAGAAGAGCCAGACCCATTATAGCACGTATACATGCCATATTTATATAATACGTAATATGTATATATATATGTGTGTGTTTCTAGTATTTGTGTTTTATGTATCAACATGATCTAATTACCCTATGTCCCAGCCCACGAATGACCGAACTGCTGGCTGCAGCGGCGGTCTCGCGGGCCCAACGCCAGCGCAGCATCAGCTGCTGTCGCTCCGACAAGCCGGACCAAAGATGTCGCGTGGAGCGGAGCTCACGCAGGGCATCCCACAGTGAGACGTCCTGGCGTACGGCGGAGCGCTGGCGCTCTGCGGTAGAAGCGGAGTACGGCGGACGCTGCAAACAGTTTGGTGGGAGTGAAGTCTCTGTTGGGCGGGAATCGAGAAACGCATCAAAAGCTGGGTGAGGGGGGGAACCAAAAACGAATACTAAAAAACAAAATCCGTCCTAAAAGAACCGTTTTGTGGTCTAGTCTTGGTGGTTGGTGAGTCATTTGATGTTCATCCACCTTTCTCAACGCCTCAATTATCCTTGCTACTGATCATGGTGCAGAGTTCTGATGCAAAAATGAAGTAAATGGAGAGGAAGTGGAAAAACAAGCAGAGATGACTGTGACCCTGCAATCCAGTCAATCTTCGCCCAGAGATGACTGTGAGCCAGCGAAGTTCGTTGGGATGAACTAACCGACACCCGCCAAACACTCCAGCTGTTCGGCGGTTCGGCGACTTTACCAGGCCGTCGGAAGATGCAACCCGTCGTTTCAGAACCCACCCACCCACCCCAACACAAAAAATATCCACTCTTCTTTTCCGGCTTTTGGTGTTCTTTGGGCTTTGCCCAGGTCATGCCAGACAGAAGATGAAGTCGAAAGAGACTGATAGAAAGTCAGTGCTACAAACCAGCGTCACTCTTGCTCCATGATGGCTTCATGAAAGGTTTTCGAGAGCCTGAGTTGTAGCCCTGTTTGCCACGCTCATCCATTCCCAAGAAGCCTTGCACGTTGATTCTCGAAGTCTGTTTTAATTTGTTTTCTGCTTTACCTGTTGAAGTTCGGAAGGTAGAGCCACAAGAAATGCTACAAATCTTGTGTCCAGCCTCACAAAGTGCACCATTGCAACCTAACAAGAGTAGAAACGCAGGTTGGTAAAAGGTGGGGCACCCAAAAAGACCAAGGCACTGTTTGCAGCCATGGGCAGATTTTGTTTTTGCCAAGCAAACATCCAATGCCTTACAACCCCTCAAACATCAAGCTGGCTAGTACCCCTATGCAGTCCAGGCTGACAATCCTCAACATTCACGCCTAGCACATAAGGGTCCGGCTTCCTGAAAGGGCGGCCCGCGCGCTGGACCGCGCCCAAGACTCTGCCATGCGGGCGGTCCGGCCCAGAATTGTTAAAGTGTGTGCGGGTGGGAAAAACCCACATAAGGGTTGCTGCACCCCATCGTGAGGATTGCTGCACCCTGCGTGGGAAGGAATCGAATGGCAATTGCATCCACAGGTTTGAATGGCAAGGAACCAAACAAAAACGAAAAGCTGGAAAAAAGGGATCACCACTCACACAACCTTAAACCATTCTTATGTGTGCTAGACCATTCTGATGCAAAGAAATCACCCACACACAACGTTAGAAGTTAACGCATCAGATTCGCGCGACCGTAGCATCGGTCGAGTCCCAGCAGCAACCGGTTGCCATACCCATCCTGCAGCTCCCAGCTGTAGGTGGGTTCCCACACCCTTAAGATGAGGGTCTCCTCGTGCAGTTTCTGAGGGGAAGAAGTCTGAGTTTCTCAGGTGGAACACCTCGAGATTTGAGGTGTTACAGATGTGAGCTCTCTGCTTTTAGTGCAAAGGATCATCCGTTTGAGTTTGGTGGAAGATCAGACTGTTTGCGTGACTGCTTGGCGTCGAATGCCTGTGGGTGAACAGGAGAGTGCTTTGCATATGAATGTCCACCTGCGTGTGGTCATGTGTCAATCAGGCTTCATGTGGGTGAACGGCAACGCATTGCTGAAGGCGACTCTTATCTTCCGAGACTTTCGCAGAAGATGAGTGGCTTCTCATGGAAGGCAAATGCAAGAAAACAGAGATTGGTGCTTCGATGGGTGT